AAGATATGACAGTTCCCCCTTCACATGATGTGACTATGTGTTTTGGCCGGAGGTTTATAGTCTGAAGTGATTTTGAAGTGTATAGAAAGTTGGGGTTAGATATTCCAATTTTGTTTAAGACAGATGAAATTTCTCTAAGTGTGATCCATGTGCATAATTCAAAAAGAATAATAGTGTACGGCAAGAGAATATGGTCAGATGATGAGGGAAGTTAGGATAAACCTTATGCTCCATTTTAGTTATTCAAAGCAGAGCAAGAAAATATGATGCTAGCAGGGGGTTAGTAAAAGGATAGTAAATAAGTTTGAGTAAATACAGTGAATTAGCAATTTCAGCAGAGCTAGTAGAGGTAAGATTTGATTCACTTAGCTGGGTTAACTCTAGTGAGTGGATGATAGTTTGAAATACCGAACATGTGTTAGAACCCAAAGAGGTTAAGTTAAACCCGAAGTACAGTGACAGTGGAATAAATAATAGCTAGTAGTAAAAGAGCAAGCAGTAGAAGAATAGCTTTTAGGAATTATCGAAATGTGGTTTCTCCAAGATTGACAGTGTAAGCAGAGTTAGATTATTAAGATTGTGTATGATAGTTGTGAATACGTTAGCTTTCCGTCATGTGAATAATTTAGTTTTTCCTAGCTCAGAAGTAAGTTGGAAGATGAGTCGTTATTGGGGTAGAATGGAAGGAATTGCAGAAAATAAGGAAAGTTATTCGGATCCCAACAAAAAGAGAAGGATCCGCAAGCATAAGATCTTTGGCCTAAGGGTTGATGTGAAAATTTTCAGTAAGTCCAGTTAGAGATTTGACACCCAAATAGTTAGCATGGAATATGAAAAAGGAAATCAGTTCGGTAACAAGGAAATTGTATAATTACCACAAGGAATAAGTCTAGCATGTGTAAGAAACAGAAATTGAATAGAATGATCACCGAGCTTAGTTATTGGTGATAAAGTGATCATAGAAAAGCTATAAAATCATGTCCAGTTATGTATTACGAGGGCAGTGCCATTGCACGAGACCCTTCCGAGTAGTGGTCAGAGACTTAGCTCACAGCAAGACTATAAGTGTTTTCAGGAAGTGCTTAGGAAGATAACCAAGTGTGGGAAGTATAGCTCATGAATGAGGTAGACAAGGGAACTATGTTGAAAGAAGTTAACTGCTTAGCCAAGGTAGGAGTTCGACTTTCGGACACCAAAGATGGTGGAGTTGATGTCTAGAACAGGACCTGTTCCTCCTTAGTAGCCGAAGTGAAGGAGAAACGGTTTGATTATCCCTACTTGTTGTAGCTGAAAGAGGGGATTCACATGCATAACATGATGGCTTTTGAACAAGGGGGAGATGATGGTACTTTGGCGTACCAGGATAGATTGTGTGTTCTAACCATAGATGGACTTAGCAAGGGAGGAAGATGATATAAGTCCATATGTCCAGGTATTCTATCCACCCAGGTTCCCCAAACATGTATCATAATCTCCAGGAGACTTATTGGTGGGACAACATGAAAAAGAAGGTTGCATACTTTGTGGCCAAGTGTCTGAATTATCAGCAAGTGAACGTCGAGCAGCAGAAAACCAAGTGTTTATCTCAGAACACACACATCCTTTAGTGAAGATGGTAAATATGGACCTTATAATAAGATTATCTTGCTCAGTTTGAAAGCATGATTTTTATGGCCGAAGGTGTAGATCACCAATTGGTTGGTCTAAAGTTGGTGAAAGGGAGTGATGGGACCAAATTTGGTCTATGAGGCTATAGAGAAAGTTAAGTGGATTCAAGAGCATTTGAAGACAACTTAGAGCCACCAAAAATCCTATTCGAATGTGCGGCATAGAGACCTAGAGTTTCAAGTTGATGATTGGGTATTTCTGAAAGTGTCGCTTGTGAAAAGCGTTATGAGATTTGGGAAGAAGGTGAAGCATAGTCCCTGCTATATTGGGCCATATAGATTCTTGCGAAGGATCGGTCAATTAGATTATGAGTTGGAGTTGCCACCATAATTAGTGGTGGTACAGTCAGTATTTCATATGTCATGTTATAACATTTAAGTTTTCAGTACTCAGATACTCATGTCAGTTCAGTACTCAGATACTCATGTCAGTTCAGTACTCAGATACTCATATCAGTCCAATACTCAGATACTCATGTCAGTCCAGTACTCAGATACTCATGTCAGTCCAGTACTCAGATACTCATGTCAGTTCAGTACTCAGATACTCATGTCAGTTCAGTACTCAGATACTCATGTCAGCTCAATACTCAGCTACTCATGTTAGTCCAATACTTAGACATTCATGCCAACTTAGTACTCAGATTACTCAAATATTCGTGCCATTTCAATATTCATTTACCCATGTTAGTTCAGTATTCACGTATCCATGACAGACCAATATTCAGTTAATGCAGTAGTCATTCAGTTCAGTAATCATGTATTCATTCAGTTCAGTAATCATGTATTCATTCAGTTTAGTATGCAAGTGTTAATGAAAGTTCATGTTCCCACCAAACCCATTTAAGGTCCGGAGTTAGCCGAAGATGCAGTCAGGACAATCATTCGAGGACGAATGATCCCAAGGGGGAGATAATGTAACACCCCGTAAATTTGAATCAGTTGTAGATGCACTAAATGAGTATTAATGAGATGGTTATCAATTGGTTATGATAATAAGCGTATGAGGCTGCAGTTTATGATTTATGCATTTTGGACCTGAGGTCGCAGTTATGTATACGTATACTTGGGCCCGAGGCCGCAGTTGTGCACATATATATTGGGCCTGAGGCCGCAGTTTAATATTCAGATAGACAGGTTGTTCATCATTCAGAAGAGGGAGTATTCATATCCTTACTTCCTTTGTTCAGTTCAGTTATCAGTCATCATTTCAATTACCAGTTATCAGTTCAGTTATCAGTTATCAGTTCAGTTATCAGTTATCAGTTATCAGTTATCATTTTAGTTATCAGTTATCAGCTATCAGTTATCGTTTCAGTTTCTATTTCAATAGTTATCATTTCAGTATCAATTATCGATTCTCAGTTATCAGCTCAGTTTCAATTTCAGCATATATAATTCTTTCTTTCAGTTGCTTTACATACCAGTGCAATTCAAATGTACTGACGTCCGTTTTGCCCGAGGCCTGCATCTCACAATGCAGGTAGTGATTTACAGGTTGATGATTCAGAGCGCTAGGATTCTCGTACCGGCTATTTGGTGATCCCCAGTTATTTCGGGGCATTGTCATTACTATAGTCTTCAATATTTTCAGGCAGTCAGTGTTCTCAGTACTTCATTGGAGGCTTCATAGACTAAAGTAACAGTTAGACAGAGTCACATGCTTTTCATATTAAGCCATGTTGGCTACAAACATATTCCAGAATTGTATTAGTATTTACGCACTTTGATTTATATCATCTAGACTTTCAGTATATCAGCATGTGTTAGTTTATTTTCCGCATTCAGTATGTTATGATACCACATGTTGATTCAGCCAGCCAGTTGGTTCGCTCGGTCACATGTAGTCAGGCACTGAGTGCCGTGTTACGTCCAGGCCCAGGTTCGGGGCGTGACAGTTGAGATGCCCAAAGGTGTTAATGGAGTCATTTGACCACTAAAATTTCAGCTAATGTTTGATAGCCTATATTATACTAACTTTTGCAATAGCTATGTCCTGTTTATCAGTTGCTTCCAAAATGAGAGAGATCGATGCTCCTCTAACTGTTGATTTGCATGGAATTGAAATGTATCATTCAAAAGAGAGAGATACTTTCTCGATTTCTTATACTAAATTTTCTGGAATTTGATTGCACAGAATGTTAAGGGATTAGATGGGAGAGGTTCAATTGTTAAACAAATATGTACATCCACTTACAGCAACCAGTTCTGCTAATATTAGCATGGGCGATGCCACTAAGTTATTGACAAATTGTTTCAACTTTTACAGAGATAGTTATTTCTCATCTTAATAAAGAAAATCATAGTAATATTTAAGCATCTTTTTCATATAACATTCTTGAAACTCCAAGTTGCTGTTCAAGTAATACTTTGTTGGCAATGAAATTTTAATTTTAGTTTCCTTTTAGGTTGACTGAATTCTCCGTCGTTGCTTTTCATGCGTTGAAAGCGCTGGATCGATTTCAGTAGGTGGCTTTCTTTTAGATGTTAATGGGCTTTCGAAATGTATATGTGAAGTTATGGATTTTTCTACTATTCTATTACACATCTTACTGAAGAATAACAATCCCTAAAGCGTTAGATGTTGGAATGCATCCGTGTTAGTAGGAAAAAAGGACTTTTCCTTTGTGAAATAATAAATGATGTACTAGCAGTTCGTAAATTTTGCTAACTTATAAATCCAGAGTTCAGCTTTGAGTATTCAATTTCTTTCAAAACTTGTATTGCAAATCTTTGTCTTCTCGCTCTAAAGTGTAGCTGCAGGTACTTCTTTTTTTCTTGGTTCTTCCTTTTCTTTGGGTCATCATTGTTAGCTTTGAAATTTAATGGTTCGTGATATCTTTTTCTCTCATTTTTTCTCTTTTTTCCCCTTTTTATTCTTTTGGCTAATTCTGAAGTGCTATTGCAGGTTCTCTTCATCTGTTTCTTCTCTGATTTTCCCAAATCCCTTTCCCTTTTTTATTTTTTTTATTTTTTTATTTTGGTTCTTTTCATGATTTTTGATTTTATAATAGAATGGTAAAACTGCATTTTTAAACTCTAACCTTGCTGAGTTTTGAAGTTCCATGGTTTCCTGGGTGCTTCACGTACTTGTTAATTTTACAATTTGAGGGCTGTTATAAGGGGAAAAAAATATGATTGTTAATCATAATACTTTAACATAGCACCAATTTGGTGAAGGTGTTTCTAAAGCTCTTATCAAAGAAGTGTCTTAAATTTTTTACTGTCTTAATAATTTTTTTAACAACCTTTTAGTATTAAATGGCAATTGAGAGTCAAAACAATGAGCCCAAGGAGCAACTTGATTTTGATTAAAGAAACAGAGTACTTTTTTAAAACGAGACAGTTCGTTGAGCAGTAAGTCAATCGTTTTGCAGATCGACAGTAAATCACAGCCAATGTCTGCAAGTAAGTTTCTTAGTGATCTTGTGGGTTTATGAGGACGGGTAGTCTTTTATATGAATGAGAAGTTGACCCCTGAAGCAAGAGAATGGTAATCTACCAGTTCTTGTCATGTGTTTTAAATAGATTAACATTTCTTGTTTCATCTCCACAGGTGCTCTTCGACATTCTTTACAGGATAGACTTAGCGAAATTTCAAGCAAGAGTCGTGATGAAATATATTTGAAGCTACGAACAAGCACGGGTAAGAAACTTACTTGGAGACACTTGTAAACCTACCTATACTGGGTTCCTGGCTTTCCTTTGACTTACCTATTGTTTTTACTGCATACAGCCCCACCATTGAAGCTGATTGATTTGCCTGGGTTTGACAAGGGAAATCTTGATGATTCATTGGTGAGTATTTATACAAATATGATGGTCAAATTTGTCAGATAGCTTTGACTTCATACTTACCGACTATCTTTCGAAACAGACTAAATATGTTGAGCACAATGATGCCATATTGCTGGTCGTAATATCTGCTGCTCAGGCACCTGAAGTTGCTTCATGTAAAGCTATCAGAATTACCAAGGAGTATGATAGTGAATGTAGGTCTATCTATCCCAGATTGTTTTTTGTCTTTCAGAAATAAGAAAGAGTGAAATGGATATTGTCTATTTGTAAGGCCTTGCGTACACACTACCCTCCCCAGACCCCACTTATGGGATTTCACTTTGTTGTAGACCATAATCACACTGTCTGTTTTATATGTGAAACTCTACATATGTTTGCTTTATTTCTGTTCCATTAGGTACTAGAACTGCCGGTGTTATTAGCAAGATAGATCAAGCAGTTTCAGAGCCAAAAGTGCTTGCGGCTGTGCAAGCTCTTTTGTCGGGTCAAGGACCACGAAGTACAGCTGATATGCCCTGGGTTGCCTTAATTGGTCAATCTGTTTCCATAGCTTCTGCCCAGTCTGGAAGTGTTGGATCTGATAACTCATTGGAGACTGCATGGCGAGCTGAGAGTGAAAGTTTAAAATCTATTTTGACAGGAGCGCCTCAAAGTAAGCATGGTAGGTTAGCATTGGTCGAGATCCTTGCTCACCAGATACGCAATAGAATGAAAGTCAGACTTCCAAATCTGCTTTCCAACAATCCATTTCACTGTTTTTCTTTGTCAGCAGAAGCAATTGATTGTGAAAAATTTGTGTTGATCTCTTTGTCTACACTATAATTTCGAATCAAACTAATTTATTTTCTAGTAGAATTTTGTTTAATTTGGAGGTAAAATCATCTTATCTTTTTCGAGGTACCCACAAATCATACTTTTATTGTTATTTCTAAAACTGGACTCTAGATGTTTTGAAGATAGATTTAGTTCTGAACAGAAGATCAAGGTGAATTGTATATTCACTACTAGAATTTCGGAAAAAAGCGACCAAACTTTAGCGACCAAAGTTGGTCTGTCAAGAAAAGCGACCAACGTTGGTCTCTAAATTGGAGAAAATAATAAAATAATTATTTTAAATACATTAGCGACCAAAGTTGGTCGCTATTTGGTTAATAATTTCGTCAAAATGTTGACCGGACTGGTCAGACTTGCTTGGTCAAAGAAATACTGAGATTAGCGACCAACGTTGGTCGCTATAGTGGGACCCACTTATTAAATTTTAATAATTATATTATTATTTAAAAAAATTCTTTAAAATATAAATAAATATAATTCAAAGTTAGCGACCAAAGTTGGTCGCTTATAAAATAGAGACCAACTTTGGTCGCTAATATGGGACCCGTTTAACAATTATATTATATTTTAAATATTATATAAAATATAAATAAATCTAATTTAAATTTAGCGACCAGCTTTGGTCGCTAATTTAAATTTAAATATAATTAGCGACCAAAGTTGGTCTCTTTTCAGGTCAACAATGGTCAAAATTAAAAATCACTTTTGTATTTACTATCTAAATAATATAAATGTAAGCCGTTAACACTTTTGTAACACAAGAGATGAATAGACTAAAATATACTCTAACATGCTATGCACTAAGTATAAGCGTATTAGGTAATATTATATCGAATATGGCTTATATATATATGTAATATATATAGTTACGCTGTACTATGCACTAAGTATAAGCGTATTAGGTAATATTATATCGAATATGGCTTATATATATGTAATATATATAGTTAAGCTGTACTATGCACTAAGTATAAGCGTATTAGGTAATATTATATCGAATATGGCTTATATATATGTAATATATATACTTACGCTGTACTATGCACTAAGTATAAGCGTATTAGGTAATATTATATCGAATATGGCTTATATATATGTAATATATATATACTTACGTTGTACTATTGTCACGAACCAATTCCCACCCGGTCGTGATGGCGCCTCTCGTGAAGACAAGGCCAGCCAACAGAACAATCAACACTGCTTTTAACAATTTCTTAGCATAAACAGGTTTAAACCATAGATACTNGCCTATACCATCTCTAGTTGAAACACATGTCATTGCAGTCTCAACATCATTGTCGCTAACGAGAACAACAATTGATCAAAAGACACACCCTGTCAGCTACTGTATCCAAGTTATTCTCTGTATCCAAGTTCATCCCGAGTAATAGTACCATGAGGATAATCACCAAAGCCACCGGACAGCTTTATGATGCCAATGAAGCAAGATGAGCTATTCAATGAAACTCGTATTGTAAAGAAGAAGAAAGAGACTGATTCAGAAAGGTGGGTCGAGGGTCGAGCCTCGACTATACATGTAAGTTTTTTACTTATCATTAAGTATTTTGATTTACTTTTATATAAATTTTGAAATATTAATTCAATATAATTTTTCTTATAGGTTCGCTTCAGAGCTGATGTGGGGGAATTCATACGAAGTCAGCCACCTAACGAGTCGGCCGAGGCAATCCAACTTTCGAACGAGGATGCTAAAAGAACACTCCTTGAGTACTTTATATACTTTGAACTAGACAATAGAACTAGTTTTCGAATGAGCTTGTAATAAACGTTAACTTAGTTTTGTTAGCTTAATGTTTTAGTTCCATTGATCTTTATATTTTGTTGCGTTTTAGTGTTGTTATTGTTGTTGCTGGCATAAAATGCCTGTTTAGGATATTTGGTATAAGCTGGCAGGTGGTGTAGCAGCCAAAACAGGCAGTTTCTGCCAAAAATATACCAAAAAAGCGACCAACTTTGGTGTCCAGTTGGTCGCTATTCACTTAAAAAAAATAATTTTATTGGTAATTTTGCGACCAAGGTTGGTCGCTTATAGTTAAAAAAAAAAATTAATTCTTGCCATTGGCGACCAATATTGGTCGCCCAATAGATAAAAAATTATAACATTTATTAATATAGCGACCAAAGTTGGTCGCTTAATATGATTAAAAATAAATAAAAATAAAACGTTATTTACATCTGGAGACCAACTTTGGTCGCCAAATATATAATATTAAAATATTTGAGCGACCAAAGTTGGTTGCTATATGCTTTGCCCGGAAAATTTGGTCCTTTTACCTGGGAGACCAACGATGATCGCTATTTAGCGACCAACTTTGGTCCCTAAGGTAAATGGACCAGCTTAATATCGACCAGGCGTGGTTGGTCGCTTTTTGGCCAATAAGCGACCAACGTTGGTCGCTTTTTTCCGAAATTCTAGTAGTGATTCTTGTTTCACTTTTGGTGTATAGAAGCCCTTGTAGAAGATGTAGAGTCTATAGTTGAATCATTGGGGCCTTGTAGCTACCATGAGACTAGGTTGTTGCTCTTTTTTGGGGGTCATGTAACTTTGTTTTTCTCTTAGCACAACCTTTGTGATAAGGGTTACTTTATCTTATTTATAAAATATGCTACCTTCTCATTTTTTTTTATTTGAAATTGTTGTGCCATCTATTTAGTCATACTTGGGAGTTTGCTGCTGCAGGCTTCAGGGAAAATCTCAAGTTGTACAGGATGCATGAGTTGGTTAGGCTTGGGGAGCAAATGGTTAATAGTGCTGAAGGTACCAAAGCCTTAGCACTTAAGCTTTGCCGTGAATTTGAGGATAAGTTTCTGCAGCATATCACTGGCGGCGAGGTGGGTAAATAAAAGAGAACTCTTAATTTTCTTAATTATTCAGTCTTTGGAATTGCAAATACCCAATATTTTGATAGTACTTTTTGGTTGTAGTTTCTCGTTGTTTCGCAACTAGCTTTTATTTATGAAGGTTCCTGCAAACAAATTGGGTGATACCCTTGCTGAGAAAAAAGTTCATTGCTTATGTTCTTCAATATATTGTGCTTATAAAGGATGTTGAAAATTGTGTACCTAATCCGTGCAATTCAAAAATATATCAACACTCTTGAGGAATGTGAGATATCCATATAGATTATGTTGGATTGGGAAAAGCTTCCTTAGTAGATATGGTAGCGATGTTCAGGCTCTAATTTTAATTTTTTACATGTATTTTTTGAGTTCTCTTCTTTCCGTCTGTCTCTTTGTTTAATTATTTTCTTAATCTCGTAAACACCTAAATCAATCTGCTTCCTACGCTGTTGCTCATCCTATGTTTTCTATGTGCTGCATTATTTACCATATATGGACTTTGTTTAATATGTTGTTCTACGTTACCCATACACACCATGATTTGCGCTGTAAGGTGTCTTTTTGACTAATCAAAACAGAAAAGAAAGGAAAAGAAAGGAAAAGAAAAGAAAAGAAAAGAGGTGGCCGCACTACAAGAGAACACACATTTAGCTAGCAGCCAAAATCCTAGCTAAGTTAGCAAAATCCCTAGCTAACATCGCTTTAGCTAGGAAAATGACCTTAGCTAATTCCGTAGCTAATATGCTCTTTGCTAATTTTTTTGCTAGAAAGATGTGCAATCCGTAGCTAATTTGCTACGGATATTTGCTTGGCACTAATCCGTTGCTAAACATTTGCTAGGACATGTGGTAGCTATATTCCAAGCAAAGTTTGTTTGGTCAATGTTGACTTACTGAAGCTTTGCTAGGCTATTAGCTAGGAACTTAACCCTTGCTAATATTTGCTACGACTAGACTAGCTAAATTCCAAGAAATGTTTATTTGTTTAGCGTTGATTTTATTAAATCTAGCTAGGAATATCCCTAGCTAAACTGTAACGACCCGACCGGTGTTTTTTAGAATTCACGCCCCGATCCCCTATTAACTGCTTCTCTAAGTTCATTTCTGCTATTTTGGTTTGATGGGACGTTCGGTGTTGAGTTTCGGAGAGTTTTGGGGCACTTAGTCCCTAAATGAGAGCTTAAGTGTTGAAAAGTGGTCCGTAGTCAGAACTGTGTGAAGACGGCCTCGGAATGGAAATCCGACAGTTCCGTTAGCTCCGTTAGGTGATTTCGGGGTTGGGTGCTTGTTCAGAATGTATTTTGGAGGTTCCTAGCTAATTTAGACTTGAAATGCCGAAGTTTGAATTTTTTGAAGTTTCCGGTCCGACAGTGAGTTTTTGATTCGAGGGCCGGAATGGAATTCCGGAAGTTGCAGTTGCTCCGTCATGCCATTTGGGATGTGTTTGCAAAATTTCAGGTCATTCGGACGTGTTTTGGTTAGGTTTTTGATCGAAAGCGTGTTTTGATGAAATTTGAAGTTCTTAGGCTCAAATCCTTGTTGAATTCTAGTTTTCGACGTCGTTTTAGGTGGTTTAAGGATTGGTACAAGTTTGAATGGTGTTATAGGATATGTCCGTAGGTTTGGTTGAGGTCCCGGGGGCCTCGGGTGTGTTTCGGATGGGCTACGGGTCAATTCCCCTTGCTTTTGAACTGCTGTTGCTGCTTCTGGTACTCCTTCTTCGTGTTCGCGATATGGCCTTCGCATTCGTGAAGGCTTATCTTGGCCATCTGAAAAATCCTTCTTCGCATTCGTGTTTAGAGCCTCGCGTTCGCGAAGCTCTGCCTCTCCCTTCACCGCGTTCGCGTCTACCATCCCGCGTTTGCGTAGTTATGCTGTCTCACCCTTCGCATTCGCGTACAGATTCACGTGTTCGCGAAGGGCAGTCCTAGGGCCTTCAAATTCTTCTTCTTCGCGTTCGCGGACGCGTTGTCGCGTTCGCGATGAGTAACTGAACACCTTCACTTTTCCTTCTTCGCAAACGCGATGCTTCTTCCGCGTTCGCGATGACCAATTTTCTGGGCAGACAGATTAAATTCCAATTTAGAGGGTTTCACCATTGTTATCACATTTTTGACTTCTAGAGCTCGGTTCTTGGCGATTTTTGAAGGGATTTTCACCTGGACGACTTGGGTAAGTGCTTCTCACTCGATTTAGACCAATTTCCATGAATCTCCTCTTAATTTCCTCCTTTAATTTCAGATTTTTAATGAAAAATGGGTAGAACTTCATAGACCGAATTATTGAGTTTTGAGGGGGTGTTTGACCTCCAATTTGGGAGATTTTTATATGGTTAGACTCGTGAGAGGACGAGGGTTCTGAAAATGTAAAATGATCTGATCCCGAGACGTTGGCCTGAGGGCGTTTTGGTCATTTTGCCTAATTTCACGCTTTAGCTTTGAATTAAATAGTATAATCAGTTGCTTGACATGTTATTTACAATGTGTGATTTAATTGAATAGATTTGGACCATTTGGAGTCGAGTACTCGTGGCAAGAACGTGGTTGCTAGTTGATTTTAGCCGGTTCGAGGTAAGTATCTTGCCTAACCTTGTGTGGGGGACTTCCCCTTAGGATTTGAGTCTTCCTTGTTGATTGTATTCCTTGTACGCGAGGTGACGAGTGCGTGCTCGGATTTATTTGTGGAAAATTGCCCCTTTTAGGCTCTTAGATCCTTGTAATCACCGAATATGAAGTTGTTCTTGATATGATTGAGTTCCCTGTTATTAGCTTCACCTTTACATGTCTTACTTCGAATTTATTTGCCCTTTTTGGCTTATTCTTGTTACCTGATTGACTTTTACTTGTTTCACTGTAGACATTACCCTTCTATAGTCACATTATCATTCCTAACTGGTTGTCTTTATCTGGAAAGCATTATTCTACCTCTCGCGTGATTAATTGGTCTTAATTGGAAAGAAGTTAGATATCCCATGTTTAGTTGAAATTTCCTTAATTGTAATTATTTGATTCATGTTAACTTCCTTGTTGTTGAACTTAGTGTTATGGAATCGTTGTTTCATATTATTTCTCCCTTGTTGAGTTGTTCTTATTGCGCGTAGTATTTCTCTGTCACGGTTATTCCTTGTGAGTTAGTTGTACCGTCTTTTGGTGAACGGAATTTCTTGAGTTGATCCTCTTGCTTTGTTCCTGCATATATTGTCATTTGTTGTGTTGCATTGATATCGTGATGCACGAGGTTTCTGTCGTGCGATTGTTGATATTGTGATGCACGATGTTTCTACCGTGCGGTTGTTGATATTGTGATGCACGAGGTTTCTGCCGTGCGACTGTTGGTACTGTGATGCACGAGGTCTCTGCCGTGCAGTTGTTGTTGAAGGGTTGCACGAGGTCTTTGCCGTGCTATTGTTGCTATTGATGTGTTGCACATGCGGCGTAATAAGGCGGGATATGTTATATGCTTATATATGGGTTGCGCATGTGGCGAAATAAGGTGGGAACATTGTGATGCACGTGTGGCGAAATAAGGTGGTGCTTATTATATTATTCTTTGCACACGTGGCGAAATAAGGTGGGCTATGTCAGGGGTTGATTGTAGAGAATTGTGACGGCTTGTGGGGGCATTCTTATTTGTTTAATAATGTGATTGTGGGTTGCTTACCTGTATGAGCTTTACCGCTTGGTAGTTGTGAGGAAACATCGTACGTGCGGTCCGTTCTCCTTTTTCATGTTGCTAGTTGGTAAATATTCTTGTTACAAGCACTTGCACAAGCATACACGTAATTGGACATCCCTATTAGAAGTGAATTCCTTCCGATCCTACTAAGGGTGGAGATACGCCTTCGTTATCCATTATATATGTGAGAGTGGCCCTAATTGGCCAGTTAGTTGTCAGTATGAATGTGAGATTGATGAGGCACAGGGTGCCAAGTGATAGATTTCAGATGCTGGGTTTTTCGTGAGTTGTGGTTCGTCCGAGATTTTGATAAAATTGTGGAAAGAGTTGAGTAAGACCTTTGTGAACATCATTGTAGGATATGAGTTATTGACTTGTTTTCCCCCTTGCTGTGTTGTGACCTTAGGATTTGGATTAAGATTCTGCCGTCATTTCGTATCATTATTTATTATAGTCTTGTTGTTACTTGTTGCCTTTTTTTTCCTTAACGTTGAATTGTAGCACTTGTAGTCATTCATGCAGTCTTTACATGTTATATATCGTTTTTCAT